AGTTCATGGACATCTAGAAGGTACCACCAGATGACTCCAGGAGCTGTTAGCCAGAGCCAGCTCTTCCTGGTTGGCTGGACAGAGTGGCAGAGGAAGAGTGAACCTTCCATCTTGGGGTCACCTCAAGGAGGAGATACTTGTTACCACAGCTGGGAGCCACAGAGTGACAGGACAAGGGGAATGGGCTTAAACTGACAGAGACCAAGACTTTCTTTTGGTATTTTAAAATTTTAACAGCAATCCAAAAAGAAAAGGGGAACAGATCAGTTCCTGAGCTTTTGAATGGCCGGGGGTTGGAAGGGTGCTGGAGCCACCACTGGCCCACTGGAGGGAGGGAGGTTTAATTTGTGGCACTCAGGCTGGCATGGGTTGGTAGATTCAGTTCTTATCCCTCCAAAATGGAGCAGCATAGAGATTTTACTGAGGGGGCAGACGATGCATTGATGCAGTCTCTGCATCACAGGAGAGCTCACTGCTGCCTGAGAGCGTGAGCAGGCTGAGAAGCAGCTTCCAGACTTGATGGTGACCGGGATGGGGACACTGACCTGCAGCAGTCCCATTTCCAGCCCTGCAGAAGTCCCTGTGGAGGTTGGGTGGTTGGGTGATGATGGACTTTGGAGTCCAGGGGGTTCTTTTCTCCCGTGTTTGTAGTGTTAGGAGCTGTCTCCTCTGTAGCCTGGAGGACAGGGACATCACCTGCAGGAGCAGGGAGCAGGCAGAACCACAGCACTGTGCTGTCCCTCCTGTCTGCACTGAGAAGTGGCAGACATGGATCAGAGCCCGGGTTACTGGGGTGAGAACTCACTGCCCCACATCCCGGGGTCACGGCAGCCCCGTTCCCAATGCACCCTCAGGCTTCAGCCACGCTCTGAGCCAGGATCTCCAGCTCTGGCCTCCTTTTAACACAAGAAAGCTCAAGGGTTGTTTCCTGTGTGTAGGGTTTTCAGCTGCCCCTGCAGAGCATCACCAGATTTAATTTCCATCAAGGAAAGCTCAGCATCACCGGCTGATTTCTTTATGTCTCACCTCTGGCTTCACTCGCTGCCTCCTCCTTCCCCCAGAGAGAGGGGCTGGCACTCTCCCTACCAGGCAGTGAGAACAGGACTTCTTCCCTCCCCAGCTCCTTAATTAAAGCCACAAATTGAGCTCTTTTCTTGCAATCTGAAGTGATCACATAAATAGCATTTCCAGAGCTAAGTGAACATTTGAAAAGATCCTGCAGGATCAGCAGAGACAAGTAATGTTAACCCCCAGAAACGGAGGCCATCGCTAAAAACAAGATGCTGGTTTTCCTTCCCTTCTGAGCACAGAATTCAGCCCAGAAATGGAAAAAGTCCCGAGATGCAGGCACAGGCAACGTCTTGCCTCTGTGGCAGAGCCTGGGGATTCTGCTGTGTTTTTCCTCTTTTTCTGTTGGGGATCCCTGAGCATCCTTGTGTGGATTCCAAGTGTCATCTTCATTTGGTTGCTGTTCTGCCAGGGGTAGTTTCACACCAGTGCTGGAGACTGCATGGCTTGTAGTGTGGGATGGTCATGGTGAAGCCTGGGAGAGGCCTGTTTTGTGGAGACATGCAGAGGAAAATCTGCCTTCCCACTGGGAAGACACTTAGCCATGCTCAGAAGAAACATCTCCCCCAGGCCAAAACACACTGCCAACAGCAAACCCCCATGTCCAACTGTGTTCATGGTCGAGCTCCAAAAGCAAAATTGTTGAGCCTCATTCAGCTGAGTGAGTGTCCAGGGGGATGTTCCAGGGTGTATCCATTCCTAAATACTGTCAGGAAACACCACAGTTTTCCACTTATCCCTTGCAACGTCAATTGTGGGGCACACCACTTGGGAGCCTGAGGGATGGCTGCTGAATCGAGCTGCTATTTAGCAGCTGTCTTAACTAGGCAGATAAGCGTAGCCATCAGCACTTCTCTCCTTGATGGAATCCATTGACTGAATAAGCTACATTCTCCTGGAGTCAGCTTTAATATTTCCTAAAGGGATGGGGAGGCTCTCAAAGAAGTGGCAGGAGGCATATTTGACTGAGGGGAAGCTACCACTCTTACTGGAATCAGAGGTTGCACAATGAGAAGTTCTGGGGGAGATGATGAGCTTTGTCTGGGGCAAGATGCTATTCAGGGCACATCTGAATATCACAGTTGGCCTGAAGTGATCCGTGCTTGCTGTTTGATTAACATTTGATTTCCTTTTATTGCTTCTCTGCACACACAAAGCTAAATTCAGAGCTGCTGAAAGCCACAGGCAGAGCTTCTGAGTTCAGTAAAACCCATCTGAGGAGTCACAGGGAGCTGGGGGGACGCTGCTGTTTGGCACTGAGAGGCTCCAAGGCATCAGCTCATGGGGTTGGAGAGAGCCTGGCCCCCAAATTCCCTCTGGAACAGGGGTGCAGTGGAGCAGGGTCATCACCCATGTACCTGACCTTCAGCAGATGGTTGCAGAATTTTCCATCATTCTCCCCAAACAACAAACCAAATATGATTTTTTTTTACATCTCTCCCATCAAACCAGCATCTGAATGTCCCTAATACATCTCCATAAAAATCTTCACAGCTGTTCTAGCAAACAGCCTGGAGTGCTGCTGCCTTTTATGAGTATTAACTATGTTAAGCAAAGCAATCTCACTATTACACTGTCTGCGGGAGCAGCAAACCTCTCCCATCAGTCTCCCTGAGCAAGGAAAAAGGGTGATTAGTGTCCTGTTATCATCACAGTCGTGGTTTAAGACATTTTTACAGAGAGCAGGACAGCAGCCCTTGCCCAAAGCAGCTTCTTGTTCCCTCTGCTATTATCATAAGTAACCTGATGTGCTTGACATGTCATCAAATATTTCTGAGCAGCGTCCTCCTTTGAATAATGACTTAAAAACCGATACTGCTGCTCCGTGTCATTCTTTGGGGGTTTGTTTTGGCATTGATTTGGCAGACCCTGGTCTCATCCAGTTCCTCCAAGCACCCACGGTGGAAAAAGCTCAGGCCAGTCCTCAGCAGCACCAAGCTGGGGCCCTGAGCTTTGGAAACAGGGGGAGGGAAAAAGAATATTGGAGAATTGTAAGGAGTCTGTTGAGTTCTGCTGCACAGCAGGAAAAAAAAGTAGGACTTGATTTGTTGTTGTGGGCTCTGGTTGTGGCTTTAAGGGCTGCAGCCCCTCCAAGGCACATGGCACAGCCATGCAGATCCCCAAGTGCTGGAGGTGATCTCCACCAGAAGCTGCCAGCTCTGTAAATCCCAAAGTTTCTGGAAAACTCCCTGGTGACTTATGCTCCAGCCAAGAGGCATTTTCTGTGCCATGGCACATTTTCACCTAAATTCCAGCAGTGCAGGGTCCCTCTCTGAGTGCCTCTCTGAGTGCAATGCTCTCTGCATCCCAGTTTGGACAAACAGGATCCTGTTTTTCGGTGGGATGGTGGGAGAAATTTAAATAGGGAAAAAAAAAAAAAAAAAGAGGGGGAAAGGCTGGCTAGTAGTGATTGTGCTGGAAAACTGGATTTCAGGCAATGGGAATTTCAGTTGAATTATCACACATGAAGTGTAGAAATTTTGCCTTCTGTTAGAAATGCATGTTTCCGTAGGGATGGGGGATAGCAGTGGGACAGAGAGGATGCAATAAAGCTCTGTCCAGCTCACTGTGGTGAGCAAAAGAAACCATTTCACTCAGGCAATGCAGAAGGGGCTATTTTGAGAATGCTGGGAAAGAAAAGGTCCAGAGCAGTGGCAGTGTTGGCCCGACTTAAAAGTACTAAAGTCTGTCAGGAGAGAGGCAGAACATCCCACAGGAGGGCAGATGTCAGCAGAGCCCTGGGTCATGTTTTCTTCCATTTTGCTAAAAGCCAAGAAGAAAGAAAACAAACCCAATTGCTGTGATTTTCCCCTCAGCTCAGCCTCTGAGTGCAGCTCCCTGGCCAGCCCAGGGATGCTCGGTGCTGCTGCAGCGAGGGCTGGTTTGGCAGCCCCTGTGATTTACCCAGCATCGCTGTCTTTGCCCTCTTCACCTTACCCAGCCCCTCTGGCGTGGGGGCAGTGTCCCAAGGATTTTCTGTTAGACACGGAGATGCTTGCCAGGTCCTTCCAGGCTCAGCAGATACCAGAGATCAGAGGGAAAGATCATTAGTGTTTAATTACACAGGGGCAGATCATTAGTGTTCAATTACAGATTTGCAGAGTTGCCCCATGCCCTTGGCTGGGGCAGGAACGCTGCTGTGCTGCTGTCCCCAGAATAAAGAATCCCCTCTCCAGTGGGGAACCTCAGAGGTGCAGGTGATGTTTTTACCATATCCCCCTCAACCATCTCCACTTCAGTGTCTGCTTCTGCTCCTCCCTGTCCTGGGGCATTAATGAGGGGTATTTACTGATTATTTTATGTCCCTATGACCCCCTGGGGAAGCTCAGGAGGGAGAACAGACCTGGGGCTGCTGGGAGGAGAAAGAGCAACCAAGGACTGGACAGATAAGCAGGACGAAGGAAAAATAAGCTTTTGCCAAGTTGGCAGCAGCCCATCAGCCAGTCCCAATGCCATCACCCTTGGCTGACCATGATCCCTGTACCACTGAGGTGCCAAAGTTCCATGAGGGACGTGTTGGGTCCCCAAAGCCTGTCTGGGAAGCAAAGCTAACTCGCCTGTGAATGAGCAAACCTGCTGGCTCCCTCACTGCCAGCCTCCCATCTGTTCCCAGCCCTCAGAGTGGGCTAGCAGTGCTGTAAATCCAGAGGAAGCTGTGTCTGGAGACATGCCTCTGGTGTGTCTGCTGAAGCTGTGGCTGCCTCTGGCGTGGAGGCAGCACTGGCCTCTCAAATGGGTTACTTAACACACAGGGCAACAAGAGGGAAGACGATCTTCCCCTTTCCTTGCCACCCTAATCTCCAGAGGAAGCTGTTTTGTTTCTATTACAATAAAAAGGAGTTTCTTTGCTGTGGGAGTGCAGGTTCAGGCTGTTGAGTGGAGGCTGCCCACCCTGGGCATCCTGGATATCAACAGGCAGTCGGAGCATCCCACTAACGTGCCATCCCAGGCATTTATTTCAACTTCAGATACAGCTACCTGCAGTTATTGGAATTTCCATGGCATTTGAACCCTGGACATTTCACAGCAGCAAATCACCTGACAGCGACATCCTCGCTGGGTCATGACACACCCCCACCCACTGGGCTCCAGGAACCAGGGAATTAAACCAGAGGTGAAGAACACAGGCAGTGGCACAGCCAGCATAGGGACTCAAAGGCTCTGAGAAAGTGTGGCAACTTCAGTGGGTTGCCAGAGACATAACACCATTGGAATCACAGCCTTTCCAACCAGCATGGTGTCTTCCAGACAGATGTCCATTTGGGAAATCTTCAGCTCGTGACCGGAACAGGTGATGCTGCTCTAACCTCCTGCCTGCAAGGAAAAACACAGATACCATGTGTGCATATGTAAAGTTTGGCTGTTCTGTTCATGCTCTTGGCTGGTAGCTTCTGGCTTTAAAGTTCTTTGCAGTTTGTAAGGGCTGAGGTGGGAGGGGCTCTTGGGAGCTTGCCCAGCTCAAGGCCCAGCTAGAAGCAGCCTTAAAACATCGCCACTCACAGGGTTGCTCAGTGCCAGCAGCCCTGTGTCACCTGTGTCACCTGTGCTCTGCTTCTGCACGTGCAGCAGAACCTCCTTGTTTGGAGTAAAAGCCAACTTCTTCCTGGAATGCTGATGGAATTCATGTGCTGGCTCAGGCAAGGAGGCAGCATGGAGCAACACAGACCTTCCCACAGCCACAGCCTGCCTTCCCAGGCCCTGTCCATGGAGAAGCAGCACAGGGTATACCCTGTGACAGGTACACCCTGTCACCCCAATTTTTGTACATGAGCCATCTGGGCATCTTTCTCTCATGGCCTGATGAAGATGGATGTGAAATGTTGCTGTAGAGCCTTGTTTGAAGGGGCCTTTAATGAAGGCAGGAAGGTGTTGAAACACAAGTAACACTCAGGCACTCTAAATTATCTGGTTAAGCCCAGCCATGCAAGACTCATGTTCAACAGAGGGTCCTGAGGAGCACCTTACTGATGTCAGGGCACTCACGAATTGCTCTCTGAGACTAAAAAACGTAGGACCCTGGCACTGGGCTGGCTACAGCTCAGCCTGATTCCAGCCTCATAAGGGACCCTGTTTCCCTTTCCCAGCCTTAAGCCTAAAACTTAAGGAACAACTTGCCCATAACTCCATGTCTGTACACGCTCTCACCTTTGGAATGCACCTCATGCACTGGAGGCATAGATTAAAACTGGTGGCCAGTCAAGAGGTGACATTTCCGAGCAGCACTCGAGCCACAAAACACTTTTCAAATGCCTTTATGCTTCCCCAATGCCACCAGTGTGAGTGCCTTGAATTTGGTTTTGTGTGCTGCTGGCTCCGACGTTAATTCCTGGCACTAAGCGGTGAAGGAGTAAGAGGGGAAGAGGAGAGGGTTTGCAAAGGAACAATGGGCAGTGGATATTTGTGAGGCTTTTATGAGGAGGAGGAAAGGGCTTTAAGATTCCTTCCTAACCAACAATTCTGTGACTGGGAAATAAGGTGCTTGCTGACTTGCTGTTCAGCTTTTATATTGTGTAATAAAGAAGCTAAAAAAAAAAAAAAAAAAAAAAGACCCAAAGCAATAATAAGCAGATTAAAGGAATTACCCTTGAGGAGAATAACCAAGATTTTATCAGAAAGCTAATTTGAAAGGTGATGCAGGAAATAATTTTTGGTTAATAGCTCCAAGCTGATGGAGGTCCTTGGGGTTACCTGGTGTTGGAGCATGGTTGCCAATGGCCTTAGGAGATGGATTGGCTCTGGTCCCTGCAGCTCCCTGCAGGTTTACCAGTCTGGAGCAGTGAAGGCTGGGCTGTGTCTTCATGCTTGTCCTCATGGTCTTGTCTATCCTGCAGCTAAAATTTAAGGCAAAAGAGGTACTAAATTAGTGGCCAGCCAAGTGCAAAAAGCTGACTGCCAATGCCATTTGTTCTAGGGGCTGGGTGCAGAAACGGGGAGGAAAGTTTTGAGGCCTTTTTTTTCGCCTTTAGTGCCCGAGGGCAACCAAAAAACGAGAAGGGATTACTGTGGGTCCAAGGTTGGGCAGTGAGCAAGGTGGGAGCATTGCTGCAGATGTCAGCAGTGGCAGTGGCATGGCCAGAGCACAGCAAGGGGCTGGCACTGCGTCCCTGCCTGTCCCAGGCTTAGGGCAGAGTGCTGCCCCCAATCCAAACCCGGAGTATTTATCCTGTTACCCCGTGTTTCCGCAGGTCCCAACTGCTTTGCGGGCACCACGATAATTCCTGCGGGCATCGAGGTGAAGGTGGACGACTGCAACATCTGTCACTGCCACAACGGGGACTGGTGGAAGCCGGCGCAGTGCTCCAAGCGCGAGTGCCAGGGCAAGCAGGCTCTGTAGCAGCCCCTGGCCAACAGCCCGCTCACGGCGGCGGTGGCGATGGTGATGATGATGAAGGAACGGCCTCGATGCTGCCCCCGTGTCCGACCTGCTGCCAGCTGCAGCAGGGTCCCCAGCCGGCCCTGCGAGGGTGCCACAGGAGCAGAGATGGGCACCGGCAGGGAAGGATGTCCCCGTGCCCCCTGCAGCTGCTGTCCCGCCATGCACTCTCTGCTCCCGGTGTCCAGGTGTCTGCTCTGCTCCGGGAGCCACCGGTGCTCGGCAGGGACGTGCTTCTGGGAGCGGGGCAGGACAGCACTGAAACAGCCCCTGCACGGTCCTGGCCTGGCCATGCCTCCGAGGCACCGATGGATTCACTGCTCTCACTTTCTACAGTGTGGATCGTGGGGTTTTTCACAGTTATTTATTTGAAGGTTTTTTGCTATTGTGATTTTTTTTTCTTTTTTTTTAAAGTCTCTTCCTAAGCTGGGATCATCAGGACAATACAGCTACGAGTGGAGCAATAGATGGAGCATTTTTATTGTGTCTGTAAGCGCAGGTGGCACTAAGGACAGGAGAGAGGTAGAAATTACAAGGGATGGGGGGGTTAAAGAAAAAACCCAAGTGATTGTAACCTGCAGCAGGACCAAGGTAGATGCACAGGTACAGGCCGGACAGCCATGACACAAAGCTGTATCTGTGTTACACTTTCTCCACTGAGTGGGGACAATAAAGTTGAAGACACCTACACAGTCAATGTGACCTTGATGGGAGCACAGCCCACAGCAGCTGCATGGCCAGGCTGGGGCAGCCAACCAGAAGGTGCTCCATGAAAACAACATCATACCTGGCTTGTTTGTGTGTGATTCCTGGCAGGGGCATCAGTGGTGGAGCAGAGGGAAGAGGGCCCCCCCTGTCCCTGGTTCCTGGGCTGAGCACTTGCTCACCTGCCTTGTCCCATCCCGAGGCTGCTCTCACTGGAGCCAAGGGCAGTGTTTCATTGCCTTCAGCAACAGCAGGTCACAATTAAAATATGGGATCACCCCACTCTGGAGGTTTCCAGGAATGTCCCATGGCTGTGGCAGCACTAAACTGGCGCAGCTGGCAGGTAAGACCCTTTGCTACAGTGGGAGGATCCGGCATCCACACTGCTGGGGATAAAAGAAGCCGTGGTGCAGCAGGGCTGAGCTGGGATCCTGTGAGGGCTGTCTCTCAAAAGCAGCTGCTTTCTGTGCCTGCCTGCCAGAAGCAGAGGTCCCCAGCAGCCAAGGGTCCCCAGCAGGCTTTCAGCACTGGTACCTCCTGCTTTCTCAGGCTGCAGCTTCCAGGCGATACTGTGAAAGAAAAGCCACCAATGTCATGTCCCTGCCTGCCTGGCCAGGCGAGCACAGGGGCCTTTCCCATCTCTGTCCACGCCTGGTTCCCTGCTTTTTGGTCAGTGCCATGGGGGTGGTGCTGCTTATTTTGTTCAGAGTTCAGGCTCCTGTCCAGCACCTGCTCTCGACAGTGAGAGCAGCAAATCCTCCCCACAGCATCCTCACCGAAGCAGATCAGCACATCAGGCTCAGTTTACACACACTAATGCCTTTATACTTTCATTTGTTCCCCATTTTGGTGTTTTCCTGGAGGGCAGGGGTGGGAAGAGCACTTAGCACAGCAACTGCTGTCCTGTGGCTGAGCACTGGCTCCCTGCAGGCCGAGCTGGTACCATTTGAGACGTCATCGCCACATTTCTTTGTAAGCTGTTGCCTGTCAATGACTATCCAGTTTCAAAACTTTCAAACAATAGTGTGCCTGAAACTAGTGAGAAAAAAAAAAAATCTGTACAAATGGGAGGGAGGGGTCCTAGAAACAATATTTGATGTGCAAAAGACTATATTATTAAAAAATTATTTTGTTAAATATAAAGTGTGTGAACCAGCAAAAAAACCCCAAAATTATATATTTGTGGTGTATTTTACTCTGCTCATCATCAGCCCCTCAAGCTCCCGATTCCCCATCACATCCCTTGCCTCAGTTCCTGTCTCTTCACAGTGTTGGTGAGTGCATCTGGGGTGGGAAGAGCAGGTGGGGAGCCTGGAAATAGCCATGAGAATCCCATGGATGGGATGGGCTGCTCAGGGAGTGTCTCAGCAGTAACTCACTAAACCAGTGTTGCTTTGCCAAACCAGGATTCCCGTTTGTGGAGCTGCCATGGACCAACACGGCTCCCAGGCTCTTGCTTTAACCTCCATCTGCTTTTCTTATTACTTTTACTGGTGCCATTTTATACTTGATGCCATTTCCTGAACATGGAAATTTGCTTTCAGTTCACAAACTCCTTTTGGTACCTCCAGATGCATCATTATTTACACTGATTAGTAGTTACTCTAATTAATTACAGCTTAATTACTGTAGTTAATGTTTGTACAGTGCTTGGAACAAGTACAGCACTATACGTGCCACATATTATTATTTTCTTCGTTATTAATTAAGCACCATCTCCATTCCATGCTGTGCTACTTCATTATTTCCCAAGGAGGCACAGTAGCGCCCTTATTCCCACCCAGGAGTACTTTTCTCCCAGCTGCCAGTGGATGCTGAAGTGCTGGATTGGCATGGAAAGAGCAGGGGGATTGCTGAGGAACATGAGAATGCTCAGAATTTGGCCCTTCACTCTTTCACAACACTGTGGGGAAAAAATGGGAAGAAGAGGCAGATGGAGGGGGACCCGTGGATCCCAAGGACCCCACACAGGGATCTGGAGCATGCTGTGGGTCACACGAGGGAAAGCCCTGCAGACCCCAGGGTGGATGTGTCTGCAAGGTCTCTGTGGCTCAAACTGTAGAAGGGAAAATTCAAATTCAAATTCAGCAGTGTCAGGCACAGTCCCACCGAGGGACCCCACAGCTCTCCCCAGGCACCAGGGCATCAGTGGGACAAGGTCTGGGACCACAGGGAGAAGTGAAGGGCACTAATCATTTTCTAGGAAAGCTTCCCCTGTTTATGTGGAAGAGTTGCCAGTCACAGGTGTGCAGTGTCTCCAAACCACTGGGGGTGCCAGTAGCCCCAAAAATCATAGCCACCACTCTGCTTCCCATCAGCCTCTCTCAGGCCAGGTGGAACCAGAACTGAATTCCCATCAAGCACTCTCCAAATACACTACAGAATGTCATCCTCATCCCAATCTCCTTCCTTTTTTTTTTTTTTTTTTTTTTTTTTTTTGTAATGTTGTAGTTCATTTCTTTCTTTAATTAATCACAGCTCTGGGCCAGCCAGACCCATTAACGACTCTTCTCATTTAGACCTTTCAGAGATGTAGTTGCAGATGCAATTTAATTTGTTGACCCATGATCGATAGCAATTAATACCATCTCTTTAATCTTGTTGAAAGGTTCATCTTGGGCTTCCAGAGGCTGCCAGCTGAAGGGAAAGGTGCCTGGTACATATGTTATCAGATGGGAGAGCACAACCTCCTCCGTGGGCACCAGCCTCCCCATGCCCCCAGGCTGGCACTCCTGAAAATACATCAGGTATTTGTGGGAGATGGAGGAGAGAAGGTGGATAAAGGTGAGGGAAGATGCTGAGGGGTAAAGAAGAGCAGAGGGCTTGGTAGGGCAGAAAGTAGGGGAAGGTGGAGTTGATGGGTAGGAAAAATGAGGGGAGATAGAAATGGTACAGCCTAGCAGATGTGGCTAGAAAAGGGAGCCAAAAGGACTCAAACTGGAGCAAAAGAGCAGATCAGAGAGAGGACAGCTCGGAGGCAACACCTTCAGCAGGAGCAACAGTGAATTTTGCAGAAGAAACAGACCCAGAGGCAGAAGAAGTACTTCCTTAGGGTTCTTACACCCAAACCTCACTGATGTGATGCCATTTTTGCCCCACAAATGCAGCAGCTGTGTACAGTTCCCTCCTCCTTCTCCTACCAGTGGGAAAGCTCATCCCAGGAGCATCACCTTTCCCTGTCCTCATTAATATGCCATTAGTCAAGATTGTTTTATAATTACAGAATTATTTCCTGCACACCCCGGGGAGAATGACTCAGCTCCAGAGCACAGCAGGGCAATGTCTTTCTTCCCCCAGGAAGCCGCAAAGCATGCTCCAAACCAGGCTGAGTCTGGGAAAATCCCCAACCTTGGGTACTCTCCATCCTACCAGTGCTCCTGAGGCAGCAGCACACAGTGGCTTCAGTGGCACACAGTGAGCTGAGTGCCCTGGTGCCCATCCCCTGGAACACAGATCCACTGCAGCAACCCCTGTCCAGCCACAGCTCTGCTAGAGGTAAAAGCAAAGAGCAAAGCCTGGGATTCCAGCACTGCAAGAGCAATAAACTGTTTCTCTTTGGTGGTTGTTAAAGGGGAAAGAGGGCCCATGTGGATACAGGGCAAATGAATGCCCTTTACACAGCAAAAGGACATGGGTTTGCAACAGAAAGTCAATAGAGAAAATGAAAAATTTATCAAGAATCCACCTTCCTTGTGCTGTGGAAGTTCAGCTTTTAAAACACAGGGGATGGAAGGCATGGAAAGGAATTGCCTGTATTTATATATTTAGGATCACAGAATGGTTTGGGTTGGAACCTTTCAAGGGCCATCTAATACATCATATAGATTTATTTGTATTTGCAGATAGATTACCCTTTTTTTTTAAGAGAAAGTATCTTTTTACCATGACTAAGTCCAGTACTTAAAAGAGCTCTGCTCTCAGAAGATGCCAGCTCATGCCCCCACTCAGCCACACAAAGGGATAATTATGCACTAGGAAATTGGAAGGAAAGGCAGAACCCAACACAAAAGCTAAGCCAAGCTCCTTTGGGATGACACAGAATGAGAAGGCGCCCCTGCCAGCACTGACTGATCCCACCCCTGGGGGCAGGTGATGGCTGCACCCATCTGCAGA